CAGTCTTTCTAATAATAATCTGCACTCTTTTGAGCATGCAGGGAATGAAAACGCATGTTCAATTTCAGAGTGCCGGGCAATTTTTGATTGTGGCTTTACTACAAGGATAACAATAATTTTTACTAATCATTGTCACAGATGTTGGTGCTGGCACATCTTTCTCAACCTCAGGTATTTCCTGAGATGGATCTTCAGCATTCAATGTTGCTGCAGCATCTGATGATACAGTACATCTGATGATCTTGCCTTGTCCTGTGTATTTAGTCCGCGTCTGAGTGAGTCTTCACAGATCTGTCATTGATGTTCGTAATGTCTAGTGCTCGTCCTGCCCGGTTTTGTCTCCAGTCCTGTGAATAAACCCGTTTGCTCGTATCACCGGCTCCACTCCCCTGCTTCCCCGCTCACTCGCCTGCACGGATCTTGACATAAATCGTTTGAAGCAAGATTTATGCCAGATCCCAGAATACGCTATAACAAAACATAAAACATGTAGAACTGCAAATCTTTTAAAGTTTCTCACCCACAGTACCACTAACATGTTTTCCAACATTTTAATCTGCTTGGATTCAAGGTTTGTAATAAATACATAAAACAAAACATGCAAGAAGTATGAACCGTTCAACTTTTCCCTCCATTGTTCTTTGCACTGTTTAATTGATTAAATTCCCTACCTGTGCATTTATATCCAAGCCATTTAAATGCAGATACAGATCCTGTGCACTCCAGACATTTGTCCAGGCAGGATACTGTTGTGAATACCAGTTGATGTCTTTGGCAGTGTAAAAAAAATGTAATAAAAAATTTCAATATTAAACCAATTAATTGTACTGTGAACGATATCAAATGACACAGACTACTATAAATATCTGTGAAGTGATATTTATATTTGTCTATAATCCGATTTTTACTACACAATGCTAAAAGGTCATTGATGTATATTTTTATTTCAAAACTTTTACAAGCTGTTAGATCTTAATATGGCCAGTATCAAAAGTCTCTTTTAAATAACCATGCTGTGTCTTACTTAATCGTAAATTGATAAAAAAAATTAATTTAAGTGCATGGGTTAATTCATACGTGTTTCCATTTTCACATTTCTCAAGGGTTAGCCCTAACCCAGAAGCCTTTGAAATTTTGCATTAGTCAGGTTAGGGTTTAAAAAAGTTACACGAGCAAAAAAAATCTTTCCATAAGCTTTTGCATCACCAGTTTACATTTTCTGGACACAGTGTTGGAGTCTTCTCAATGGTCATCTGCAACAAAGAACAAATACAGCATCAGCAGGCTCAATGGTTAACCTGAATACCGTAAGCAAATCAACAAATAGAAAACATAATGGGGAAAAAACGGTGGTATTGTTGCATTCATAATTCATTGTACAGTATAGGGTTGGGTGATGTGTAGCTTCTTCGCATATGACAATATCTAGTGAAACAATTGGACCATGACATGGGGGAAAGGGTGGTGGTTTGGTCGTCTTGTAAATGTACAGTGTTTCTTTTACACTATTTAATGACTATTTACAAATTCATCAAATACTTGAATACCATTAATTTATTTCATTTTTTACCATACTGTAGTTACAGTAATTCCAAAACTGACATTTCAGATTTACCTCTTTAGTAGGTATAGATGTTGAAACACACAGGAGAAGTAGGTCCCTATGAACCATGAGGGCCTCACATAACATCCTGGTTCACACCATACTCAACACCACATCTAGTGTGTGTATGTTTACAGTAACATGGTTTATGAGAACACCTTCCATACCAAGACGCTTTTCTGAAAGGTGAAAGTGGACAAGCAGGACCCTATAATCCACATGGGCTTCATATAACACATTCTAGATTACACCTTAATATACACACACATAAGGCCCTTACTTGCGTTCCCATATACCATGTTCCTGTATACGCATACACATGCACAATGGACTTGAGGCAAAATGATACCCTAAACTGAACTGTGGGATATTATTAAAATATTATGTTTCACATTATCTAGCTTCCAGATTCAAAACTCCAAAGAGCAAAGGCAATCTACAACAGAAAGCGCAGAACAATATAACTGGGGGAAAAAAATCACAATTAGGCATAAAGACTCCATGTAAAACAACTGCAATTGCAATTACCTCTGAAAGCCCTGCTGAAAATGCACCAGGCTCTCTCAAAGGACTGTTTGACAAGGTCTCAGAAGGTGCTTCCTGTTTCTAAAAGGATGAAAGTTTCCTTTGTAAGGAAAATGTTTTATACTTAAGTACTACACAGGTAATTTTGATACATATTTAGGGTACAGTACTGCACAAAAGTCTTAGGCAGTCTAAGAAAATTATGTTTAACCTTCCTTCTTGTCACAGTGCGGGGCAAGCGAGCCGGAAAGCAGGCGACTGGAGCCGTAAATACGGACAAACAGGGTTTTAATTGAGACGGGGGCAGGGGCCCGGGCCCGACGCCTGTGTCCCCTTCCCTTACGGGACACCGAAAGGCGGGGTCCTGTAGGGCGTCGGCATTGCTGGGGCAAGGGCAAAGGGGTCAGGGCCTCAGATGAGGCAACAGGCGCGGCCGCAGGCGGGACAGCCAGAGCCGCGGGCGC